TTTTTTTAAGTGATTAAAAACATTAAAGCTTGAATATAAAGAGGAAAGACTCCAGCGCTGCTCTGCTCTGTGCCGTATAATCTACTGTGACTCTGTTCAGATTTGAAGCCAATCAGCACAGTGCCATGTAGAGTTAAGATAATTACATGCTGGAGGAACACTTCACTGTCCTGTACAATGTGATTTATGCTCAAGTCTACATTTGTTGTCTGTCGCTGCTTGGTTGCTGCCAGAAAACCTACAAATATCGTAAAGAAACTGTGATTGGATATTCAAACATTTTATTCAGACATTGAACACAGCAGACCATTTTAGATCATTTCACTTCCAGGATTCTTTAAAGATCTTGGGTGGTAATGTTTTTATACAGTAATCATTTCCTGCACTACGCGCGCTTTAGGGCTGTATGTCTGCTGTATACTGTATGTGTTACTATTATACTTGTAGTTTGATATAGTCCAATAAAAACAAAACAAAGTGAAAGCATACATTTTGAATCGAGGTTAGTCCTGTATAGCTTTTCTTTGAGTTAAAAAACAAACTTTAAATTGCATTTTCAGGCCTCCCTGAAAACTCGACATCAGATTCTTGCGCACGTCTTATTGTGGTTAATATTGTCACAGTGAGAGTCTCGAGTTCAGGCACTGAAAGCAGCAACCAAGCCAGTGACATCCCACCTGCAATGACTGACCTAAAATGAGGAATTGAAATCATTTAATACTGAATTTAAAAAAAAAAAAAAATTCCAAATGAATCTTTACGTTCACTGTTAATGATTCCAATCACCCCATTTTTGTTCACTCATTCGATCTCCCCCTCCCCTTTCTTTCACTTCTCTTTCACCATTTTCACTGTTTCTTTGTCTGATTCTGTTGTAGAAACATGTCATTCAGGTTTACCAAAAGGTAGGACTCTTGTACTGCCTTTCACTCTGTACCAAAACAATGACAACAATCTCACAGAACAACTTCCTCTGAAACTCTTTAGACGTGTGGGGCTGCTGGCACCGAACTAACACATTGCTTAGCAGAACAGTAACGCTCTCTGGGTGCATTTACACACACTGCTTACAATCAGATTAACGTGACGGATTTCTGTTCTCACATATTAGGTCTACTGACATGACTCTAAGTAACCCACGGTAACATAATTTAATGTCTAGGTAAGATTGTCCTTAAAGGAATAGTTTGGTTTTGTGTTTGGACTTGTGCGTGCAGTCCTCCCTTCATGAAGGTTATCCTTTTAGATGGTGGAGATGGATGATGATCTCATAGGTCAGTGATGGCGGTGATATTTCACTTCCTGATTACTAGATTCATTTTAAATGTAACCAGCCTCACTGTTGTCTCATTATGTTTCACTATTGTAAATGACACTTATGGCGCAGGCTTGTTTTGTCATTTGTGATCATGAACACAAGTTCCTGTTCAGATTAAGAGGGTTTCTGTCTCTGGTTTGACTCTTCTTGGTTTTTTTGTCTTTTAAATTTGAGTTTAAGATAATTGTGCATATGTGGAGACAACCAAACTCATTTTTCTCACATACAAACAGCTTAAATGAGTTAGCAGAACTGTTGGCCTAAAGCAGGGGAAGCAAAAAAGACCTGGGCAGACATTAGGTCTCAGTACTGTTTTAGCTGTTCGGCTGATATCCGCCCATTTATGGTCATTAAGTGCAGTCAGATGATTAGACTAAATCTGTCACCTTTTGTATGCAAAGGAGGCTGTGATGCAGGTGTAGCCCACTTTCTTTTTGTCTTAATGTTTCAAGTGGAAATTAAACTCCCCGTCCTGCCCTGGATACTGGATCGCCCAACACTATCTGTGCAGTTTTGTGTATAAACAGTTTTATGGAGGTGTTTGTTCTGGAGGAGCTATGTTGTGGACCTTTTTAAGCTGTATCAACATCCTGTAGAACGACTATACAGAAGAATCAGAAGCTCTGAATTTTAAGCTTTCACGAGGACAGGAGGATTTCCTGTGGGACTATTAGACTTCTTAGCCAGGTGTAGTAAAAAACTAGCAACTGAGTATTGGTGGTAGGTTGTATCAGTTAGTTGTCTGAGATGTGTTGGTTTTTTATTTTTAATACACGTATATCTATTGTACATAAGGGAGCTGTTAGTCATTTCATCTTTTTTTATTTAAAAAAGTGACTTAATTGAAATTTATCACAATAGCAAACTATTCCTTTAAGATGAATGCATTGCAATTTAAAATAAAAATTCAGACTTCCTTTTGCTTTAATTGGGTTTTACCTGGTCTCTGTGTGTAAATGTGCTCGGGGTGGCCACGGTTGGTCTGGGTGGATAAAGGCTGATTGGGAAAGCAGACTGGACTCCTTGAACAATCAGTCAATTACCCATACAGCAAAAACAAAGCGGCTTGCCACTAATCAATCGTCATTGCATGCATGAGGTTGCTTCTTACAGCTGCCATTGATTCTTGATTTTAATGACTGAACTCATCGTAGGTTATTCTGCTGCTGCATTATTCACCAAAATATATATTTTCTTACTTTCTTTGACCCAGTTGTGTCAGTAAGAAACCACCAAGGATTATATTTTTATATTTTTATCTGTTTCTAAGCCGTTAAGTACATTTATAAATGCAACTTTGTATACACTGATGTTTTTTGTAGACTTGGTTCATTCCCTTGGTGGGTACAAACATCATGTTCAGAAAAAGGGTTTTCTAAAAGGCGCGTCGCTCAGCCTTCCTTTGTCTCTTTGCCCTTTTTTATTTCGCGTTGAAGGTTTTCTGTCTTTAGTTTTTTACCTTCAGTTTAAGTCAGAAGAACAAAAAAAGGGGATCACACAGGTATATAATACAGCATTTATTTACTGACCATTTTTGGCTATTTTTATTTTATTTTTTGTAATGTACTAATTAGTGCTGTCAGCGTTAACCTCGTTAGAATGACGTTAATGTCGTAACCGCATTAACGCGACAAATCTCCGTTAGCGAGTTAACGCGGATCGCCTGGTGCGTGGGGCTGCACGGCGCTAACGCATTAACGAGCTACCTAACCGCCATGCAGCCCCACGCACCAGGCGATCCGCGTTAACTCGCTAACGGAGATTTGTCGCATTAATGCGGTTATGACGTTAACGTCATTATAACGAGGTTAACACTGACAGCACTTGTACTAATACAAATCACAGATTAGGTTTTTAACTTATAAATCAACATAAAAACCTCCACAGTTCCTAAACTTACATGGACCTTATTTAAAATGCTCTGTTAAGTATTTCCTAATTTTGTGATTCTTTTTAAATCAGCAAGGTTGTTTTTACTGAAGAAAATAAAAACTTCTTCTGTAACATGTTTTGCTTTCAGTACGCTTCATTTCTGACGGTTATCTGTCAGGCAAGCAAAAGCTGCAGAGAATGTTTGAAGGATTTAATTCTCAAAGTATTTTTGTGTCTTCAGAAAGTTGTTTTAGATGCAGGTGCTGGAAATATTCTCCCCTCATTGCTTTCCGTTCAGTGTCTTCTAGCATTTGGGCCCATACTAAACAATGTGTAAGACTTTTTCACTACGACAAGGTGTTTTTTGTTTTAAAATGGGTGTGTGGTGACACGATAGTATAAATGGGTAAATGGGTCTCTTCAGACATTTTCTTAACTTTTCTTAATGTCCCACTTTATAAAAGGAGGCCTTATTTTGTCTGGACATGCTGATGGTTTCCTGCTGACGTTCCAAGTAGTCGGATCAGCCATTCCAATAGGGGTTGGGATTTAAGAGAGGAGGCTATTAAACACTGAATAACTCAAGCGGATCTTGTGAAACCGCATGGTAGCTGTGGCCAAACTGAACCAGTCATTGATGTACATATCAAAAGATCAGAGGAGCTTTGCGGCCTTCTCAGGGAGCTGTCTTGAGGCCCATGGCTCCCTCTGGTGGCTGATTTGTAAACTGTCATCTTCCTTTGGCAGCATCATCGTCATCCAGAGCCTCCTGTCGGTTCTGCTCAGGTGTCATCACCATCCTGCATTCCCACTCATGGCGCCTCACTAGGGTTTTTGTGTTTGTCCTCATTTCTGTGGCGCACTCACTGTGACAAAATAGAGCAAAAGACTATAAGATGAGTCGAAAATAAAACCGACTGCAGTAATAAATTGTGTAGTTGGTTAAATGAATATAATGGAGTATTCAAATAAGAGTTGAGCTTAATTTCTTTTTAGTTTAAAGTTATCTTTATTTTCCTGTGAACCCTGATGCAGTCACTATTTCAATCTTGGTCTGCAACATCAATTTTAAGATCTTGCTGTTAAGTAAAAATAACTGAAAATATCAATTGCAAAAGTTCACAACAAAGAGCAAAAATAGTAAGTTTACTAGCTTAAACATGAGTCCAATTATATTAATTATCTAAATAAGGATTAATCAGAAAATGTGGAACAATTGCATGATTTTTTTTTTTCATGCTACAAAGAACAGACATAAAAATAACAGACGAACTGAAAAGTGGAATTATTGAAAACTTATGTTCAATTTCTTCTGAAGATGAAAAGTCTTAGCTACACTTTTTTTTTTAAAAAAATCTCCATTTTAACCAACAATATTATTTATTTACTCGGTTCCATTTTTGACTCGTCTTATAGGCATTAACTTCATTTTGTCTGGTTTGGGCCGCCGTACGTTTCTGCTAAAGACTCATCTCATCTCTGATCTTAACGAGTTTTCTTTATTTTCCTCGTCCTCGGGACATTTTAGGTTCACTCACATTCTCCTCCCGGTGTGTTTTTGTCTTCCTTACCTTCTTGTGTCCTTTAACCTTGACCTCTTGCTGCTCTTCCTCTCTGCCTAGGGTCAGTATTGACCCGGCCAAACGGCAGTCGGCCAAAACAGGGCCTGCCAACCCTTCTACCCAGGGAGGAAAGACCCTTAGTAAGTCTTCTGCCCTCCAGTCTCTTTCAGCCTTTCCTTCTTTCCTTCCTTCTCATTATCTTCCATGTTTTTCTTTCTTTTCTTTTTTTTCTTTTCAGCCTGTCCTCATGCCATTCATTTAAATATTCTTTCCTTCTCTTTCTTTTCTTGTCATGAGTCCACTGAGATTTCCGGCACATCCTCAGATTCACGTTTTTTCTTTCAGATTCAGGAGCGGAAGATATAGAGAGTTGTAGGAAGATGAAGATCTAGAGTAAGGGGCTGTTTCCATCCCTCAATTTCTCCTGAGACTAAAGTCTGAGTTTCAGACTTCCCTTCCTACATTGCCTCACCCTGCCTTGCCTCACCCTCCCCCCTCGGTCTTGTGATTTTTCACAGCCTCTCTGGCCGACCCAGGACCTGCTGTCAGTCCTGTCTGTTCGCTCGTCTTCTTGTTGTCGAGTCCCTCAAGCTGTCAGGAGTCTGGACTCTGTCCCTCCTCCACAACCCCGTCCTGTTTTCTGTTCTGCAGGCTGCAATGCATGCTGGGAGCCTGACACAGTACACCCATCCTGTCTGAGAAACGGGGAGATTACTGACTATTCGCTTTTAATCTAATCTTGTCTTACAGTACAGACATTTTTTCTTGTTTGTAGTCGTTCAGCATCCTCCCAAAAAAGTCTTTTCTGGCAGTCAAGACTTTGAGGGAAAGATCTTGCAGGAGGTCTAAGTTTTTATTGCAATCCAGTAAATTTTCCTGTGAAATCAACCTGGTTAGTAGGAAGGACTCCCCTGCTTTATCTCGAGTCTTTGTTTGAGTCTTTGTCTCGAGTCTAGTGAGGCTAGGAAATTAATCTGCAGATTATTCCTGTGTATAAGCTGCGCAGGAACAGTAAAGGTAAGCCAAAGAGGTCATTTTTGCTTTATGGAGGGGAAAAAACTGCACATGAAACACATTATGTAAAGAATTTTCTTCATTATGCCTGCCATAGAAATACTTGTATGAGGACAAACAAGGAAGGCAAATTACTTCTGACTAATGCAGAAGATTTCATCGTGCTTTCCTTAAAATGTCCCGCATGTCGTCTCACTGCCCAGTTTGTCAGCTTGTCTTCTAGCTGGTAGGAGAGCCATTACAGACCCGCACATATACACAAAGTCCTGTCTGTGGCTCACGTTTGTGACTTAAAAATAGTTGGTGAGCTTTTTGTTCTGTCGATCAGAGCGAGCGCGCTTCTGCTGCTGAACGTGCTGCAGCTTCAGTCACAGGGACGAACTGTGAACATTTGGTTTGGTTTTTAGAGCCTGAGCTTCATGTTGGAGGGAGCTTTTCTCTAAACAGTGTCTGTTTTCATGTGCGTCACACACACGGCTCAAATCAGGATTTAATCATCAGTTGCCTTTTAAAAAAAATAATAATAATTACTGTTAATATTAGGAAAGGTAAGCATTTCAGAAGCTGTTTTAAATTTGATATTTAAAGTGATCAAATAATTCTGATAATTAGTCCAAATGCAAGTAGACGTCTTTAAAATGTCACATATCATGGTTTAAATTGTTAAATAGAATCATGATGGGTCACGTGTTCACTAACAGTGTATTTAAAAGGCTTAAACTGGGATTTTATATACATTTACTGTACGATACATCGTCAAAGGACGTGTTTGCAGAGCAATAATCAGCTTACTTTTTTTATTTAATTTTGTTTACTCCCCTATTATCTCCTGTCATCCTATAGGCCAGTGGAAGGATCTGCTTTTTTATTCTTTTAGCTGTGTGCTGTTCAGATGTAGATTAAAATCTTTTTTCTTTTTGTTTTTTGAGAGGCGATAAAGTCCAGTCAAGTAGCGCTGCATCACTGCCTTCACTTCCTACCTCACCTGAATGTGGCCTGCAGGCTGCATCTCCTCTTATTTTGCTGCTGTTTTGCGTCGACACACCGCTGTCAGGCTTTTCTTTGTGTGTGCTCCTGTTGGCTTCAGTCTGGGACATGAACAGTCATCACTTCTTTGTTTGGTTTCTTTATTTATTCTCCTCTCTCTTTCTCACGACTCTTTGTTGATTTCAATGGAAGTCAAAGCTTCCATTTCTTTTTCTGTTTTTTGGTGGTGGCTCTCGTCGTCGTTCAAGTATTCGTCACGTTCTCTCATTTTTAAATATGATTTTTCACTGGAAATGATAAAAAATGATTGTCATGCAAGACCCACATCTTTTTTTTGTTTCTTCTTTTTTCCCCCCGCCCTGACTCCTCCCCGTCTGATCTTCTTGTACGCCCCAGAGTCTCCACCGAGTTTGAGAGAAACGGGAGACTTGAGGGCTCAAGGTGAGGTTACCTCCCCCACGTTCAGTGTGTCTTCCCTTCCGAACGTAGGCTTCAGTTTGTCTCCGTCTGCACCATCATCCAATTTGCTCAATCCCCTTCCCCCTGCATAGGAACCACTTTGTGCTTACTCCCTTCAGGGACGTTCGAATGTACTGTTGCATCTTTAAAGCCTCATCTTTGAGTGTTTTTTGACATAATGTATTTTTTTTATTATTTTTTTTGCATGCCACTGTATTTGTGAGCTACTTTTGTTAGCATGGCATGCTTGTTTATTTTGTCACACCTGAAGCTCAAAGACTGCCGCCATGTGTCTAGCTCCAGTTTACATACAAGTTAATTTCCAGAGAATAAAAATGTATATGTGGAAAAACCCAGAAACGTTTTAATCATCTGAATGATCATATTGGTTACAATGTAAATTAATTTGAAACTAATGAACGTAAGAAATGAAAATTAAATTCAAAATGAAGTGATGGGAGGAGCAAAAACAGGTCAAAATATAGACGAGGACTAGAACAGAACCATTTCTAATGCGTACAGGATAATTTTGCTTTTCATTGTTACCCAGTACTTACATTACTAACTCTAATATCTTTGAATTACAGACAATTTACAAGACTAAGGTGGATATTTGTCTTTTAATCACAGCTTCATCCAGTGATTACTGTCCTTTATTGCTTCATCTGTTCCACTAGAGTCTTTTAATTAATACTCTCAAAAATATTTGACTGCTGTAGTGTATAAATATCGTAGGGGCTTAACCAGTCTGGCATATTGGACAAATTATCTTTTATATGATTATAAAACTAAATAAATGACATTCAGTCACAGTTTGCGCGCCTCATCTTGACTCAATATTAAGTCAACACACTGGATATAAAACTGCAAAAAGATGGGATCCCAGATTTAGAAGTAATGTAAAGCGGACAAACGTGCGACTAATCTAAGTGTCTAATATAATAAAAACAACGAGATGTAGGTCCTGAAGAAATGAGTCAAACGTGGGCTCAGATTTAAGTTGCTTGCAGAAAGTGCAGCGGTCTTCTGGGTTTTTCAGACTTGCTGCTCACTATCAAACCACTGACAAAATGTAGTAAACGTGAAATATTTGAGTTCAAAATGCAAATGAATGGTGAGTAAAGAATGATGATAAAAATTGTGTAGAAAGAAATCTTAACCTTTGCACTTTATTTAAAGAAGCAAAACTCAATCTTAAGTTTTTACTGCATTTTGTCAGTTTCACTGCTTTTCAGCTTCATGCTGAGACTTAAATGATTTTTTTTTTCATGTTGCTTGTTTCCCTCATATGAAAATAAACAAACTGGGGCTAGAAAACCTCATGTGGAAATGCATCAGAGCTGTGTAAAACATGATTTAATTTCAACTAATTCCTGCCGCTTCTGCCTGTTTTAAACATATTTTTTCAAAATAAAATGTTTTTCTTTCAAATATATTCACAGATCCTGCTTTTGTAAAATGCGGGAGGAATACTGTGTGAGGCTTAAAACTCTCCTCCGTGTCTCTTTCTCCCAACAGTCGCCATGTACCTGGGGATCAAAAAGGGGAAAATAAAGACAGTAAACCCCGCTCCCTCAGATTCACTTGGAGTATGAGGACCACCAGCTCCATGGAGCCCTGTGATATCATGCGGGAGATTCGCAAGGTGCTCGACGCCAACAACTGCGACTACGAACAGCAAGAGAGTTTCCTGCTTCTTTGCGTCCATGGAGACGGGCGAGCTGAAAACCTGGTGCAGTGGGAGATGGAGGTTTGCAAGCTTCCCCGTCTCTCCCTCAATGGCGTCAGGTTCAAAAGGATATCCGGCTCATCCATCGCTTTCAAAAACATTGCTTCCAAAGTTGCCAATGAGTTAAAGCTATGAACAAAATGGTTTAAAGTATACATATATATATATCTAGAAGTATTTAAGCTGTACAATCATCCAAGTAGCAGTTTCCAAATGTCTCCTTTTTCTAAACAAAACACAGAGTATGTATTGAATATTATAATGTATAGATTAAGGCTTTTGGCAATAATCACCGAATTACCTACTAATATCTCAGTCTGTTCTGACCGCACAGGGTCGACATTAATGAGTTGAATATGATTTGTCATGCTGTGAATGTGGACGAAAAAGCATTTCTGGTCTTATTTATTTCACCTTTATTTTTCTCTCTCCTGGAAAAAGGAAAATGACGTAGCGTTCTGTTTTCAGTGTAAATAATGTATCTTACTTTGAAGATGGCTTCTCTGCAATACTCATTTTGTTTTGTTTTTTCTTCTCCTTTTGTATTTTGTTAAAAAGTAGAGATGGGGAGTCCATGTAAATGCCCACATGGTTAAGGGTCACTCATGTCTCAATTAAAGTGTCTGTCAACCTAAAGCTCGAGTCTGATCAGTGTTGGGCTTTTGTTTCCAGCTTCATCTAAATTACATTTGATGTCAGTGCATGTTGGGACGTCTGCTTGTTTAGTCATTCAGGTCTCCTAAACAAACTTTCCCTCAAAGGTTTAAAAATAAAAATTACCTGCAAGTTGCTTCTGTCACCAACTTCACTGTGAATTCAACGGTGCCTCCATCTGCACCAAGACCGGGTTAAATTACATGTCTGAGACATTTGCATCAGTGTTTCCCAAAACAAAGAGCCAAGTCTCTCATAATTCCGGTCTAATACTAGCTGAGGAGAGTCACAGTGGAAACTGAGCTGCATTTAAGGACACTAGCTGATGCATAATGGGTGCTGAAGATATTAGGAAATGCATTTAAGGAAATTTGCAGCTTGTGTTTAATGTCTTAAGTTCATTTTGTAGGGAGTAAAAGTGCAACCAGAGTCACTTGGAAGCTTCAGGCACCCAATCTTCCACTGCATTGGTTTGTTTCCTCATCTTGTGCAGCATTTAAAATGAATGTGTAGTTCAGACTGATGTAAAGAGATCAGCGGCTCCCCTTAAAATGTGGCATTTATCTGCATTTGCCTTAAGTTAGCCACAGGCCTTTCCACAGCTACCAGGACTAGTATTAAATATTCCAAATATTTCATCAGTTTCACTGCAATGAATTACAAGCAGGCTTTGCTTTGAACAGAACAGTTTATTTGATGTCAGAAGTTACAGGAACAGTTTCAACTTAAATACAAATCCCAGCTGTAATAGAGTGCATTCAAGCATGGAGTCAACCAGAGTAGACGGTGGGTGAGGAATGGAGGAGAATGGGAGTTTGGGAGGGATTTACTTCTGGGTGGGCATCAGGTCATCGATGGACTGTCCTTTCTCTAGCCTCTTTTCCATGTCCACCAGCAGCTTGACTCCATCGACCACCATCTGCACCAGCTCCACCTCAGAGAATCCCAGCCTGTCTGCATTGGAAATGTCAAAGACACCACCCACAGCAGCAGTGTCCACTCCACCTGATGGTAAAGTAAGAGGGTTTTTAAATACAACTCAAACACACCTCACAGAAACTGACATTTGGAGCATTTCTAAGGCTTTGTCATGTAGTTTGACAACTAGTTGTCAAATATGAAAGTGTGCTCAATGTAGTTTTAAATTTGAACACGCAAACCAGTTCCAGCAGTAGAAACTAAAATAAAAATGCTCACCAGTTCCACGTTTCTGGAGCCTCAGCTTCTTGAGAACTTCCTCAAACTTGGTATTTTTGCTCAAGTTTGGCAGCTTCACATGTACACCTGCACGCAGGCCAGTGCCCAGGTTAGACGGGCAGGTGAGGACGTAACCCAGGTGCTCATTCCACATGAATTCGTGGCTCCTCTCCTTGAACAGACTCTCAATCTGCACAGATATGAATATGCTCTTAGAGTCTTGCTAATGTGAACAGAAACTCTGCTAAAGATCAGTGATTAGAAACTTAAGGCTTTTCTACCAACCTTTGTGAGCCCGGTACAGAAGCGGTTAAACACTTCCTTCATGTTGCCTCCTTTCTGCATCGAGATCACACGCAAGTGGTCCTCTTCATTCACCCACACCAGGAAGGTCTTGTTATCATTGTGCCTGTAGACAGGAAATACAATTTTAAGTCAAAATACCAGCGGAGAGATTTACATAATCCTGGCAGACAAACTGCATTAAAGACGAGCCGTTACCAGATGCCTCTGGCGTCGGGCCAGTCGCGGGCCATCCCTGAGGCCAGCAGCAGAGGAGACACTGGCTTGTCAAACAGGAAGTGGTCATCAATGAGCTGCTGCTGCTCTGCGTCAGTCATGTTCTTCAGGGCATAATATTTCCCCTTCAGATCTCCAGACAGAGAGGCCAGAGCTGCAGGGACAAGAGCCGTGATTTATGACAGATTTGAGACATGAAAAGTCCACTATGACATTTGTGGACAAATTACTCTTAGGCTGCAGTTCCGGTCTGTGATGAACAGTTTGGAAAAAGAAAATGCTGAAAAACTGATCCAATTCCACACTGAGTTTTGGAAAATCAAATTAAGATAAAAAGATTTACTAGTGTTTTTAGCATCAGAATAAATTGGTCATAAGAGTCTAATCCACCTTTGTTTCTGTGCTGCATTTTAACAAACACTAGGTGGCATCTACTACCTCACAAACTAGTCCACAAGCATGAGCAACGTGAATCACTGGTTTCAGGGCATAGAGTTATGTTGCTTTTATATAACAATCGTCTGGCGGCAGGCCGTCTCCATCTGTGTAGATCAGCTTAGTGACTTGCAGCAGAGTACAATCACTGTCACTAACCATCTTTCAGTACAGAGGCCTCCTTACCTTCAATGGAAAGCTTTTCCACAGCGCGTCTCTCTCCTCTGCTGCAGTGTGGTGGCAGACTGAAGCCGCGGATGCTGCGGCCTGTTCGGACCCTGGAGCTGAGCACGTAGTTGGGATCGAGATCATCACCACCCTTAGAGAGCAGAGTCACATTAGGCTTGGCTGAGATTCCAGAGTTAAATTCGACTTTGTTAAGCGATGGCAGAGCTGCTGTACCTTCAGGTTGCTTGAGTTGAGGTCAGTCTTGTGCTTGTCTGTGGGTTTGTATCCTCCATGTCGGTCCTCGATCACAGGGTCCAACAGGTCTTTGAAGACTTCGTATGTCTCCTCATCCCCAGCAACACAGCCCACAGTCATAATGAAGGGGTGGCCTGCACGTGAAGCCAACAGGGTCACAAGAGACTGCAGACAGCAATATACAAACAAATATCCTCACAAATTAAATGTGCTCTGTGTCGTCAGGGCTCAGACTGGGACTGTTACTGTACCAGGATTGTCAACCCCTGTCTGAATGACATGATCTATGGTGAAGCCGCTGGGTGTAGCCCTCTCTCTCAGCTTCTTGTACATGTCCTGGGTTAAAACCTTGGCCATGTAGTTGTTGTGCTGACTGAGATCTGGGTACTCATCCTCAGCTGACAGCCTCTTCAGGGTCAGCTTGACCATTTTGTCAGAGCTAAACAGAAACAGTCTACATGGTGAGGAGAGTTACCTGCCATACAGTTTACAGCTACTAGGTCATCCCAACCTGAAGGGTTATAACATCAACTTCATTTGTGTTGTAGTCTTCAATACAGTAGAGAATATAGCACATAATAAACCAAATGCAGCAGGGACTATCAGCTGCATACATTATGTAACTCTGGTAATCTTTACACTTTGCTTTTAAGTTGTGCAATACTGGCCTGAAAATGGAAACCCATTTAGAGGAGAGTGTCAGGTTCGAATAGAATCAGTATGCCATATGTTTGTAAAAATTGGTTGACTTTATCCCCTTAACAAGGTCACAGTGCAAAACGCCTCCCCCTCACACAAACAGGGACACAAAGCACCGCTGAGACCATTACACGCAGTGGATCAAACAGAACAGATGGTGGTTTGGCTGAAAAGCTGCTTGGGATTTTTTTTTTTTTTTTTAAATAAATAAATACCTGGGTTATCAACCCCAGTCTGAATGACATCATCCAGAGTAAATCCACTGGGTGTTTGTTTGCTCCTCAGCCGCTCATACATAGCAGGAGTCAGAATCTTGGCCATATGATTGTTGTGTTTGCTGAGGTCCGGGTACTCCTGCTCGGAGGAGTATGTCATCTTCATCTGGTTGTGCGTGTTACCGAAAGGCATGGCTGATCCCTGGTCGGAGGACGGAAGGGAGAGACGGTGAAAAAAACCCAAACAAACCGCAAAATACCGATAGAGTCAGGACTGAGTCTACAGCTGACATGCACGTACAAATGGGTGTTCGTTTCTGGGGGAGGGGGGTGGTGTTAGCAGATAAACGATTCATCCCGCTGTGCAGCGAGTGTCCTGAGCGCGTTTAGCAGGTGACAACACATGCACCACATCAGTTTTGTTAAGCATAATTGATCGCATTTCTTTCTTTTTTTTTTTTAAATCACCTTAAAAAAATACTCAAATGTTAACATTAGTTCCTGTAGTAAAAAGCGCCTTTAATTTAATCGTAAAAGCTAAAGAGATTTTGCCGGTGCGACCTAATTCTAAATTAAACTGAGCGAAAATCTTACCTGTTGTTGAATTTGCGGATTATTACTATTACTACCAGGGCTTGATACAAAGATCCCTATTTTTCCTGACCGAGGAGCTCACAAGCCACTAGCAGCGTCCCAGCAGCTCTCCAACCGGACTAAAGACTTGAGATGGTGATTTATAGCAGACGATCCTCCGCTCCCATTGGTCAGTATTTGTAGTCCATTCATTTAATTGGACGCGCTGATATTGCTCCAGCGAGGATTCCTTTTGTTCGCTGGTATTTCACTCCTAGTTCTCGTTTTTGTGGTCTTTGTTGCATTTTTGCAGCAGTGCATTAAATTACTTATTACACGTTCATCTTTCTGGCTTCTAGTTTTAGACAAATTATCAGCACTTTTAAAAAACAGAATGCAACTTAAAGTGCAAATGAATACATAATAGCATATATTTTTTTCTCCTACTAAGGTAAAACTACAATCTTACATCCACTAGTTTAACTTACTGGTGATAACTGTTTTTGTTGTTGTTGTATTTATTTTTATTTTTTTACAATTATCATATACAGATGGTAAAAAAAAATTTTTGCCAAAGGCGAAATTTGCAAATTCGCAAACCAACTGCACAAAATAAACGTGAATCTGCAGGTTTTCGGGAAAGGAGGTTTTTACAGATTGTTGCTGCTTTGTACACCGGGTTATCTTCCGGTTTCATCGATTCAACTTCCTTTGAAAACAACGCCACATGTGAGGAATGAATGGATGTCACTGCTGAACATAGAGCCGCATTAAGAGCAGAATTGGTCCCCTTAAGTCTCATTTTTGCTTGTTTTGTCCAACAGTCAAAGAGCACTACTTCTGAAGGAGGTAGGTGGAGAGCTTTCAACGGCTGCTTTTTTTCTCTAATAGCCGTTAGCCGGTTCTAACGGGTGCTAGCATCTCTAACGTTAGCATGTAAACGTTGAAACGAAAACTTCGTAAGTTGACTTATGTTTTCAGACGTTTTGCACTGTGGCCTTTTGCCGGTTTTGTGGAGTTACAATTTTTGCCACTTTAAACACAAAACCAGTCAA